TGGTTTTGCCGTGTTTCACCTTCTCAACCTCAACAAGAGCAGTTAGAAAATTGATAATAGGGCTTACAATTTCTGGTGATTTTTAATTATGAAAAATGGGATTATATATTTTTTCAAAAAGAAAAAAAAAAAAGCAATGTTATTGCATGCATTTCTTGGTAGCAACAGAAACTGATTTATCACGGGGGCTGCAGAAGTCGCTTGCTGAGAGCCAGGCTGGGTAGGCAATTTGCATAGAAGAGGGAGCAGATTGTAGATGCCCTGACCTGTCAAACACAGGTAGGGCCTCGGGGATAATGGGTCCCAGAATACAAAGCTTCATCCTGATCCAGACAGACACACACAACATGGAGAGGCCAGATGGATTAAATGAGAGACAAAAACGCTGGCTTCTGCCATCTCCACAGGAAGAACGTAAGTGTTACAGAAGATGACAGATACCAGATACCACATGGATCCCACCCCAGTCTCCTGGCCCCGTTGTTGTGCCCGTGCCATGATTTCAACACTGCTCAGAAGAGGCAAGACTGTTCGGTGCCATGAAATACGGTCGCCGGGGAGGTGCTCGGCCCAAATGACAAGAGCAGTCAACCATGCCTATCCTACGTGCCTTACTCGTAAAGAGGAAAAGTGCTGCGCGATGCTAGAAAGGCAGAGAATGGAGCAGTACAGGGAACGCCTGCTCCTCACCAGCCTCCACACGTGGCGTCTCAGTGACAGCCCACTCTCTACCCCAGTGTTTGTGGGGTGCACTGTATTCTTACAAAATGTCCTGGGTAACAAAAAGACTGTCTGCCCAGACGACGGTCCTCCTTTCGGATCCATTTGCAATGGGGATATGGCAGCTCAATGTCAACAGGCAGCTGTCACCGAGTCATACCACAGTGCAGGAAAGGACCTGCTGCCCCTGAGTCCTGCAGAGCACAGACAATGGAGAAGGCTGGACACACAGCTTGAGGACGCACTGCTTAGGGACAGGCCTGCAAAGGCAAGGATGCAGGAGCACAGCCACGGCGACAAAAAGCGTGCAGACAACGCCACGAAACTGCACAAGCCGGACTCTTAAAAGGATGGCGTTTAGGAAATTGAAGGAGGGGCTAGCTGAGCCGGACTTCTTCCTCACAACTGGAGGCATAAAACACCTTGCTGTCTCTAGTGGAACAGAAAGCAATAGTCTAATGACCAAGAGTAGTAATGTTACATGTGACAGGCTTTTTCGGGTAAGAAAATCAAAGCGTTTGCTGAGGCACTGAAGGTCTAGTACCTGCAAGGTCCAGCGTGGGAGACAACAGGTACAGCTGAATGTCACCACCACCAGGAATGCTGCGTAGGACAGCCGCTCCCCGCACATATACGCTGGTGGTGGTTATGCAGCTCACTCACCAGCTCATTCATTCGACAAACATTCATGGAATCCTCTGATTTGCCAAGCTCTGTGCTTGGTAACACAGGATGAAAACAGGTGTGGTGGAGTCCCCCTT